GGTTAGGCTTTGGTGTTTAGGGTTACATTAGTGTTTAAACCATTCTTGGTTGGTACTAAAGGGTTCAAAGTGTGCCAAGAAAACATCCTCACACCATTACACCACCACCGGAAGCCTGAATGGATGATATAAGGCAGGATGGATCCTTTTTTTTTTTTTCTGCGTGTGAGTGTGAGCAGCTTTCTCTAAAATACTCAGACCAATCTGTATGGCACCAATAACCATGCCATGCTCAGTCACTTATATCAGCTTTCTTCCTCTTTCGGATATTCAGTTTGAACATGTTGTCTTGAACACATCTACATGCTTGAATGTACTGAATTGCTGCCATGTGATTGGCTGCTTGTTAATCAGCCATTTTTCGGATGTACCTAACAAAGCGGCCACTTAGTGTATACACGCACACACACGATAAGTCAAAGCGTAATAGATCCACTTTAACAGGTACATCTCACAAGCTGTTGTCTGATCAAAACAGCTTAACTCTCTTTATACAGATCACGTTTAAGAGACATACAGCAGTGTAAAGATTTAGGAATTTGAGACTGCACATTTTTAAGGTGGTACATAAACACACCCAAGCCTCCTTATTATTCCAGGAACATATGGACAAACAAACACATTCATTTCACCCCCTAATTCATATTTTGTTGGCAAGCTGCACCAAGCAGATGAGCATACAGATGTCTTCGTGTTAGAGCCTTAAAGATGCACAGCCTCTTTAGTTAGCAGACTTGCACAGTGTGCTATAGAAGCGTGATCCTCTACAGCAGACGAATGATCAAAAAATGAGACTGAGCCTCTAGGACTGTGCCAGGCATCCCAATTTATTCTCCTTTCCCCTCGCTGCTGGAGAGAGATGGGGTTCTATACTCAGGTAGTCCTCAGCATACTGAGCTGCTAACCTGCAGGGACACAGTGTGGTTAAATAGTAATTAAACCCAGTCCAGGCCCATTATCATCAATGTACCAACTTGCCGCACTGACACACAGACAAGAAGTTGAAGGATGTAAGGGCAACTAAAGGTGTTGCTGTTAGGTTAATGGATTCAAATGAAGCCTTGGAGCACAATGGCACATTTTGTGATTAACATTCAGCCGTGATGGGCATAAGAATGGTGGCATTATAATGAACAATTTGCATAACAAACAGGTGATAGACGTTGAATTAATATGCATCAGCAAGTCGTCCAACAGGTCGGTTCTCTGATGCCAGGCCAAGGCATTGCTAGGTGATGATGCAATGATGAGTCAGGAATTTACAAACCCAATTATTTAAAAAAAAGTGAGGACACTGTGTGAAATGTACTTAAAAACAAAAAATCTCAGAAACCCTTAATTTATTGTCAACAGAAAATGGAAAACATATCAAATGTTTAGGCTAAGAAAGTGCACCATTTGAAGAAACACGAGCCAATTTTGAATTTGCACACACACAGCAACCTTTTTCTTTTAACAAGAGCCTGTGAAGATTTAGGAACTGAGGAGACTGGGTGCTGGAATTTTCAGAGAGGAACTGTCTGATACTGGATTCTAACGGCTCAACAGTCCTGGGCCGTCTGTCGTATTTCTCTTTTCATGACACACCAAATGTTTTCAAGGCAGGCAGGCCAGCCCAGCACCTGGCTCTTCTACTATGAAGCCATGCTGTTTCAATGGCTACAGTATGTTTTCTTGCTGAAATATGCAAAAACATGTAAGGCTTTTTCTGACAACAACATCATCTGCATTTGTTCCTCTTAAATCTGTATGCTGTATGCCTTTCAGTATTGATGGTGCCTTTGCAGATGTGCAAGCTGCCAATTCCATAGGTACTAATGCACCCCGTACCATCAGACGGTCCTGCTCTCTTTAAAAAGAATTTCAAATATCGATCTGTCCGATCAAAGAACACAGTTTTCCACTTTACGTCAGACGATTTTAAATGAGCTTTGGCCCAGAGAAGGCAACACAATTTCTGGATCACGTTCGCATTTGGCTTCTTCTTTTTTCTTTAACCTGCATTTGTGGATGACATCATGAACTAAAGCATTTCTGAGGCTGTACAGTGATTTCCTTGACAGAGTTTAGGC